ACCCAATGCTCTCGTTACTTTAGGGTTTATGCTTTTGCAATGGAACTTTCCCCAGCTCCTTGCCCCACACCCTCCCCACACCTGTTCTGGAAGGCGGAAGGGAAACCCACAGCAGATTTAGGGGGAGAGGGGGGACAGTTTCGTTGTGCAAGTGGCAGCACTACTCTGGATACAAGCCTCTGTTTACAACTAGCTAGCTAGCACACACACAAAGTATCGAGACAAGCTGGAGAGCTGAGTTTTGCCAAAAGGAAAAGAAAAATGTTGTGTTTCTCAGCTAGTCTCTGCAGCCATTTAGGTTGTATTGGTGCACTTTAGGGGGGGCTGAAAGTCGTGACTGCCTAGCAAAACCTTAAAAGAAAAAGAAAAAAGTTTCCATGCCTCCGAAGATGGAGGTTGTATTTAGCTATCATGGCTAATACTGTTGAGAGACCCATCTATCCTCCATGAACTTAAATTAATCAATACATGGGAAGGAGCAGAGCGGAGACAGTAAAGGATGCCTCTGGTCTTCCTTTTGCAGCTTTTCTGCCAACCAGCACTTTACAGAACGTGCAATCTTCTCAGCAGAAGCTGGATGCAGCAGATGTGAGGATACACAATAAGAAAAGCGTAATTGCAGAGGCATTTAAGAGTCCCGTCGTTGGGCAGTGGATGCCCCACAGAGCACTCCGAGAACGACTTTCAAAACAACAACATTGCCTCGCACAGACTTCAGGCCTTCCTTTTCTTCCTCCATTAGCAGGAACATATGCATGGATTAAAGATATTTGATCATTAAAAATCCATCTGCTCCTACTTAGTTCTTCACCTTTGTTTGTGACCCCAGTAGTCTTCTAAAGTACACAGCTCTGATTGCCTCTGATCAAACAGGCATTTTAACAGCCAAAGCAACACAGCTTGCTTTTGAACAGCATCTTACAGACAAAAGAAGAGATCAGGGAGGGAACCTTGGGAGCTACTCTGTCCTTGCTGGCCATTGACACAGAATGGGACCTCATCCTGAGCTTTTATGTATTTATTGGTGTCTGGCGTCCCCTCTCCTCTGCTGCCCCCCCCCAGTTAAGTTTGTGAAGGGAAAGAGGGCAGAGTGCCCCTTCAGGCAGTCTCCTCTACATGGTTATACTTGCATGGAGGAAAAGAGCATGGCTGTGTCCTTTGGCCCTGCCTAGTTCATCTAGCAAGCACACTACTCTGTGGGAGAGGATCCCTAAAGAGGGATCAAGGACTGCCTTAAACTCAAGCGTGGTCTGATTTCAATTCCAAATGGGTTTAGGGCATAGGCGCCGACTCCATGGGGCTTGAGGGGGCCCGAGCCCCCTCAAAAATTCGTTTGGGGGGGCTCCGCCCCCCAATAATCTCCGGCGCCCCTCCAGCAGAGCGCCATCGCCGCCCCTCCCCCAGCCCAAAATGCACAGGGAGGGGCGGGCTGCATGCCTCCTGCCCTCCCTCCCGAGCAAAAGCTCCACCCAATTTCCTTTGGAGCTGATTAATAGGCGCAGCACGCTCTCCCCTATTCGCTCACGAGGAGGCGGCGCCACTTTATTTGCATATTCATGAGCTTATTTATTATTCATGAGCTTTCCCGGGCCCCCCCAATATTTTTTATAAGTCCGCGTCCCTGGTTTAGGGGTGTGGGGAGAGAGATGCTCCATTTTTTGCATGATGCCCAGTCATGAAAACATAGACAGATACTGCAAAGGGAGTCATGAAAAGAGCCACTGAAGTAGCTGGAGATGTAGGTGTGTGTGTGTGTGTGTGTGTGTGTGTGTGTGTATACATACACACACACACACACACACACACACACACACACACACACACATATATATATATATATATATGCAGGTTTTGGTGTCCTCGGGTGTCTTCCCGTGTAAAAGTTGGGGTGTCTAGGCGACGTTTCGACGAGGTCTCACTCGTCAGAAGCCGAAAGCACCAGCCTGAAGATGACGAGTGAGACCTCGTCGAAACGTCGCCTAGACACCCCAACTTTTACACGGGAAGACACCCGAGGACACCAAAACCTGCATTCCTGTACCCGTGAAAATCTACGAAAGCATATATATATATATATATATATGGCAAACCCATAGTAAGATCCCTGCTTAGATATGAAAAATAACTGGTCAGGCTTGGCCAAGTCACCACCTTTTACTCCAACTTGAGACTAGAACAAACTCCTTGAAGGAATTCAACAGATAACTCTGCAGATGGAGAAATCATATTAAATGGCATGGGGGACTCCTCAGCTCAGCAGTAATGAATATGTTTTGATTGCAGAAGGTCATAGAATCAAAGAAATGTAGAGTTGGAAGGGTCATCTAGTCTAACCCCCTGCAATGAAGGAATCTCAATTAAAGCATCCATGACAGATGGCCATCCAACCTCTGCTTCAAAATCTCCAAGGAAAAAGAGTCCACAAACTCCCACGGAAGACCATACCACCGCCTAACAGCTCTTACTGCCAGTTCTTCCAAGTGTTTAGTTAGGATCTCCTTTCTTGTAATTTTAAGCCATCGGTTTGAGTCCTACCCTCCAGAGCAGGAGAAAGCATCCTCCATGCGACAACCCTTGATATAATGTGAGCTCCCAGCACCTCACATGAAAGAAACTAAGATGAGTTGAGAAAGATTTTTCTTGGCCTGTGTCTAGAGAACGAGAGGCTGAGTATTGTTTCATTTCTCACAAGGCTTCTGAAGGTGGCACAAATGGTGAGAATTAGCAAAGCCCGCACAATTTATCTTATTTGCAAATTTTGTATCCTGCCCTTCCTCATGAAATGAGCACGGGGCAGGCCACAAGACTACTAAAAGTGATTAGAAGAATAATTAAAACATCTAAAACCCACAATCCATTTTTTATACGACATCCCCCACTATCTGTCAATCTCAATATAAAGTTACTGCTGAATATTCATAGGCCTGCTGGAATTGGCTTATTTTCACCTGGTATTGAAAAGGAACCATTCTCAGCACCTGCCTAACATCAAGGGGAAGATCATTCCACAGTCAGAGGGCCACCACCAAGAAGGCCCTATTACACATCGCTGTAGCCCAGATTTTTTTTTGGCAACAACCAAAAGGGCCTCCTCAGTGGATTGGGACAATAGGAGACAAACAGCTACAAGAAAGAAGATTCCACCTAAACATTAGGAAGAACTTCCTGACAGTACGAGCTGTTCGACAGTGGAATTTGCTGCCAAGGAGTGTGGTGGAGTCTCCTTCTTTGGAGGTCTTTAAGCAGAGGCTTGACAACCATATGTCAGGAGTGCTCTGATGGTGTTTCCTGCTTGGCAGGGGGTTGGTCTCGATGGCCCTTGTGGTCTATTCCAACTCTATGATTATATGATTCTAAGTCCTTACACAAACACACACACAGAGAGAGAGGGGGGGGGACTTGCAGGAGGCAATGAGATGGTGGCAATTACAATGTCTGGCTTGTAAGGGAAGTCAAAAGTGGTGGACCTCTGCGAACATAATTTGTCTTAAAGATCTCAAGTTAGTGTTTAAAGTAAGGGGACACACTATGCAGTTCACAACACTATTTCTCCTTGGTTTTTGAGATTTATTGCCATTGTACTTCTCCATCCTCCCAAACAAAATTCTATGCTAGACTGTTATGGAGATAAGCTTGAAAAATACGATGGTTCCATGTCTTGAAGTCTCAGAGGCCTCAGTACAACCAAGTTTCCAAAACACATGAATTACAAGCTTATCTCACACAAAAAGTAAAGAAAAGAAGGAAGGCATCGAATGCAGGTTATTTTGTGATGAGATGGTATGGAAGTCGGTTTTGGTACCTCTTTGAAATCAAAACCTCCCTTGAGGAAATGCTATAATACTCGAAACACATCGGGCAATAAATAATCTTCTAGCACCTCTGAGATTTCTTCCCCTTTCTGCCTCACACTCAAGTACCCAACTCAAGAGTAGCTCTGTGCTGTAAGTGGCAATTGTGTTTGCTGTGGGCATGCTGGTGTTTTCTACCGCAAATGCTTAAAGTGTGAATGACAGATGTGCGTCCTTCAACATCCATATACATGCACTGGGAAACCACAACACAAATCAGGGCTCTCAGGTGAGGGTACGCAGGTGTTTAGGCATGCATGCCTGTCATTCACATCTTAAGAATTTGCTGTGGGGAAAACCAGTATAACATCAGCATACCCACAGCAAATGTAACTACTACATAAAACGTGGAACCTCTCCGAATAACTCAGGCAGAGATTAGAAATCATGTCAGGTCAAAGCCAGCTGGGTACATGGTGTGAAGTTCAATCCACAAGTCAGTTGTCTACCCCTGCTCTCTACGGGGCACCTAGAAGTCACCCACCCACCCTTCTCAATTGATCTCTACTTGCACACCCGGATCGCTTCTATGCTTCCCCAGTACAACTCCCAGCTTCGAGCTTTGAACTGTCTTCAATCTATTTTCATGCTTAATAGTAGTGATGGGGCAAATGGAAGGAAGCAACTGCTAAAGTCTGCCTTAAATGGCTGAAGCAACTCTCTGAGACCTTGCAGTTGGGCATAGGATGTTTGCTTATGGGCACCAGAGAGTGGGAGTTCACTGAAGTACAGCAATATCCTCTTTTTAGATCAGCAGCATTAATCCCCCACGCAGAACGAGCCTGATGGAGCTCAGAATCTCGAAGAGGCTCGCAGTGCATCGTATTCCTCGATGCCATCATTGCAAATGCTAAACTACCACAGTATCTGAGCCATTTGCAATGTAGCTTTAACCAAATTGTTCCCATGACGCCGCAGATGATTAAGGCAGATCACACATATTTGTGGAACTAATGTCTTTTGGTAAATTAGAAAGCTTGTTGTGTTTTATGAGTTCTTCTGTGGCCTGAAGAGGAGTTTAAGAAACGCTCATCTAACCCAGCACCAGATATCGGCCTAAGAAAGATGTCAACAGACCCACCCACCTTCCATAAACCCCGACAGAACTCAAGCAGAAGCCCCATTTCCGATACTCCTCCCCAAACTCACCGATTGTAGTCAAGCCTGGATTGGTGGAGCTGCTGTTGCTGAAGCAGCAGTTTTGCCTCCTGCTTAGCTAACAGATTCTGAAGGCGTTCCTTCTCGATTTCCAGCTCCATCTTCTGGAGCAGCAGCTGCTTTCTCCTTTCTTCCGACAACCTTTTACCACGCTCCATTTCTTGTGGTCTCAGGTCCGTGCTGCCGTTCAGTCCAGGAGTATGCGACGGGCACAAGCAACACGCAAAGGATTCACAATGTGGCCCGGAGTGCATTTTTGGAAGGTGGCAGCCCTCTTGGAAAGAGCCGTGATCCGAGCTACCCGGTTTCTGGTGGAAAGAGCAAGTCTGAAGGGGACAGCTGTTTCTCCTCTGCTCCGCGGCAGGAGTTACTTTCTTGTGGGGAGGCGACTTTTGCCTCGTTGGCGAGACCACGTTGTTGCACTTACCATGCAACCCATCGCCCAGCATGAACTCGTTCCGATCTTCTTGCCGATGACCCTGGGCTGCAGCTCGATGAGCATGACTGTTCCTGCAAGGCTGAGACACAGGCATGTGGGTAGGACTTCCACGTGCCATTCTGTTGTTCTTGTATAAGGCCTGTGATCGGGCAAGGCTAAGGTAGGATCCATCCAGTTCCGAAGATGACAGAGGTTGACAAAGGCTTCTGTGGTTGGACATCTACAAGAGAAAGGCAAAAACAGAAACCAACCCACTTTAATCTTTTTTTAATTCAATTTAAAATATGTTTAATTGTTTCTATTCTAGTTCTCATCGCTGGCTCACAGCGTTGAAAACTTCTACCAGCACCAGTAAACTTGCAGCGGTTTGATGATCGACACCTAACGCAACTCAACAGAAAATGGGTTTCAAGTGGAAGAGAGGAATATGCTATCAAATCTGCAATTTAATTCCGTCTACACAGGTACAATAAATATAAAAACCACTGCCTGCAGGATTTGGGGTATAAACAAGGTACTTCAGCCTATCAAGGAGTTGTGAGTATCTAGGGTTACATAAAATCAACTTGAAGTGTGGCAAAAAAGCATTAAATGTTAATGTCTGAAAATGTTTAATTTTGAATACAGAGCCAAGAAATCCATTCAGCCACTATAAATACTGTCTGATTGGCCATTACACAGCAGGGGATTTGATGTAAAACATTTCACCTTGCGCTGAATGGGATATTACTTACTGTTGGAAATTTGATGAGAGTTTTTGAAATATCCTTACAGAAACACTGATAAAGAACTAGACCACTTCCTGTAAAATACGGTTCTACATCAAAAGCTGTCATTCAACTACAAAACACGTTTAAATCCTACCACATAAGTGATTTCTTTTTCCAATTAAGTTGGGCTGGTGATGAGAGACTGATAAAACTCCGGAGCTAGAAAGACACGTTAATTTGCATTTGTTGACCCAATCCAAAATGTGGGGAGCGGAGGCGACCCGACTGGGCCCATAGTTCATGTATGTTAACGGGCACTAAAAATCCCAATATGTACCACAGAGCACTCTTGCACCATAGTTCACTGAAGTTAAACAACTGCATCCCCAATGCTTGCAATAGATGCTCAAAGTGCTCTTTAAATCTGAGCATTTATTTCAGGAACAATATTGGACCAAAACTTTTTCAGACTGGATTTGTGTAAGAAATTTCCCAACCTTTAAGTGTGTTTAAGCACAGAATCTGAGGTCTACAAAGACAGCAAGAATGTTTTGATGGAGAGTATGGACAGGGAAACCTTAAAACATTCTGAAACTGTGTGTAACAACAGCCTGACAGCCCCTTCTCTATCACAACTTATAGCAACAAACACACCCAAATAGAATGTTCTCGGAAGGGGAAGGGCTGGGAATGACTCCCTGTCCGAAACCATGGCCAGCCACTGAACCTGGTTGACCCACATGGCCTGAATTATCAGCTACCTAGAGGCAAAGAACATTTCCCATAATGCTCAAGGATTACACTTCCTCAGGGGAATGTACCCCCTTCATCGTAAGATCTCAGGGCGGTTCACAGAATAAAATACAGGACAAAAATAAGTAAAACAAAACAGCAAAACAATAACACCCCCTTCCCACCTTTAAACGGCTGTAGGACATTAATCAGTCAAAGGCCTGGTTGAAGATGAACATTTTCGCCCAGCGTCTAAAAGAATACAATGAAGGTGCCAAGAGAACCTCCCTGGTTCTTTCCACAAATGGGGTGCCACCACAGAGAAGGCCTGTTTTTGTGTTGCCACCCTCTGGACCTCACGTGCAGGAGGCATACAGAGAAGGGCCTCAGAAGATGATTTCAGAGTCCGGGTAGGTTCAGATGGAAAGAGGTGGGCCTGAGATTTGTAGCGTTTCCTTTGTTCAATGAGCTCAGGACATAGGTTTCTATCTCCGCCACCCCCCAATAACCGTGGCAGATAGATCACCAGGGTTTTTATGGATGAAGGTGGTTTTGAACATGGGCCCATTCCAGTCTCCATCTGTAGCCTAGGCTTGTTTTATGGCTTACTACTCAGGGTTTGCCTGGGGTGAGACAAACCATGAGTCTGGGTTCAAACTCATAGCTAAGTCAAACCATGGCTTGGTTCACAGCAGCAGGGAGACCATAGGAGGAGGAACACTGTTTTCTCTTTCATGCTAAAGGCGTGGTTTGGCTCAGCATTGGGCGCTGTGGTCTAAACCACTGAGCCTCTTGGGCTTGCCAATCAGAAGGTTGGCGGTTCGAATCCCTACGACGGGGTGAGCTCCCGTTGCTCTGTCCCAGCTCCTGCCAACCTAGCAGTTTGAAAGCAGGCCAGTGCAAGTAGATAAATAGGTAGGCTGCAATGGGAAGGTAAATGTCGTTTCTGTGTGCTCTAGTTTCCGTCACGGTGTTCCATTGTGCCAGACGTTGTTTAGTCATTGCTGGCCACATGACCTGGAAAGCTGTCTGTGGACAAACTCCGGCTCCCTTGGCCTGAAAACGAGATGAGCGCCGCAACCCCATAGTCACCTTTGACTGGACTTGACCCGTTCAGAGGTCCTTTACCTTTGTTATATATACAGTGGTACCTTGGGTTAAGTACTTAATTCGTTCAGGAGGTCCGTTCTTAACTTGAAACTGTTCTTAACCTGATGCACCACTTTAGCTAATGGGGCCTCCCGCTGCCGCTGCACTGCCGGAACACGATTTCTGTTCTCATCCTGAAGCAAAGTTCTTAACCCAAGGTACTATTTCTGGGTTAGCGGAGTCTGTAACCTGAAGCGTATGTAACCTGAAGCGTCTGTAACCTGATGTACCACTGTATCTAGTCCCGCACTGTCTGCTCTGACTGGTACTCCAGGATTCCTAGCAGAGGCCTTTATGTTCACTCGCTGTGAATTGGAGATGCTTGACTTGAACTGAGATTGAACATGGTGCACTCTGTGCACAGCGTGTTTGTCCCACCATGCAGCTCTGGCTCTCTCCGGGGTGTTTTGCCATGAAGCCGAAAATGGCAAGAAGCTCCTATTAAGTGCAGCTCCTGTGCTACAGCACGTAGCCGGGCACTCGGTCCAAACTCCACGTTTTGGCAAGAGTCGGAGAAAGTCAAGAAGAAACTATTACTTATTTCTCAAGCACTATTCAAAATCTAAGCTAGGCTTGCCTGCCTTTATCCTCCTCTCCAAGGGAAGCATTCTTGTTACCCCTCATTGCCAGGTGCATTTCTGACACTGTGCAACAGGCTGCTGTTAAGCTATCAAGATAGTTATGCCAATCTTTTGTTGAAAGAGTTATTAGGAAAGAATTTACTTAGAAGAATATGCAGAATTAAAACTTAAGTGAAAGATATCTGGCATTCAGACTCATTCCTTTTATTGCCCAATCTTTTACTGAAATCTCCATTACAAAAAAAAAAAGTCTAAGATTAATCATTACAAAGCACCTAGATGGGACAGAGATTGCCGATATTAATACCCCAAGATAAATAAGGCAGATAACCATGTAAAAAGGTTAGTTGCCTATTTTCTTAGCAGGAGATAAAGTGCCATTGTTGCTCATGAATGATGTATGATGATGATTGCTGTATTTCAAGTGTGCCATACAAAAAAGACAGGCAAGTGGGGAGAGACAATGAGAAGGTAATAGTAACAACACCGCATTGTTCTCGTTTAGCACAGAGCGATCATCGGCAGGAGTGAAGACATGTGGCTTACAAGGAAACTCTTACGGCAACGGAGAACGAATCTCTGCCAAAGCGGAATCCGCAGCTTATGTGACGGGTGCCTGCTTTCTGCTTTAAAATAATTCTTGTAAGAGCAATACGCTGTCATTTATTGCTTTAACCTCCTATGCTAAGGATATTTCCAACAGAGGCCCAAGGGTGCAAGACACCCGTTTTCAAAATGGCTTCTGAGGTGGCACTGAGAACGATTTTCAACTTAGGTTATTGTTGTTTTTTTACAAACTTTATTGAAAAATTTTAAAACAGATATCAAACACAAAGGGTTGTCTTCCAAGACAAATGTTAAGTCTTGCATGCAAACATCCACACGGCATCAAAACAGACTTGGAGAATCTTTTATATTACAATTTTAGTTCATATCCACAGGGTATACATCAAACTAAAGCATTAAAATAGTTTCCCCATAGTGGCTGCTGTAACGGGGGGGGGGGGAGATTACTGTACTATTATTAATAAACAATATGAATTGAGACCATATGGAGATAAAATCATATTTCTTGTAGGTGCTATATCCACACATATTGGGTCCCAGTTTCCATGGTGGGAGGAGGTGCTTTTTCCCAATGGGAAGCAACTATTTGTCTCGCTGTTCGCATAAGAAAGACGATCAATTCTTTACGCTTGACATTTGGATTGATACCGTTTCCCATCAACAACAAGGCTAACATTGAATTGGGTACAAGATGACAGTGGAAAAAATCGAGCTCAGAAATCTTAAAAACAACGGACACTCCCACCACATATATGGGAAGGTGCCTTTAAGGGTGAGACAACACTTGAAAGATGCAGGGGCCAACTTATGTTTATGCCTAAGAATTACTATACTCATTCCTCTTCAAATCAGTTCCTTGCCTTGACTCTTGATGCTCAGGGAGCATTATTGGATACTCTGGGGGGGGGGGGAGAGAAAACCTCTGCAGCGTTCTGGGCATTCATTCATGCTGCCCATGACCTGGAAAGGCCTCCATACCTTAAGAGCCATCTGACCCAAGGGCCTCAAAAAACAATAGGTGTTTGACAGGTCCCAGAACCCAAGTTTTGGATTTGCTTAGCTCTTCTCATCCTACCCTAATGCTCACCTGCACCTCTCTCCTTGCGTTTCTCTCATGATGCCCCAACCTTCCCGGGAGGACTGTGCATGAAGCAAGAATGCCCCCTCTTCAAGACTTGTGGGACATCAGGACATCACAGGAGAGGGGCTGGGGTCTCTCGGTGCAGCATCCCACTCTCCTCGTGACAGCATGGCTAGCTTGGTGTGCTCCTTAAGGGCCACTGGGTATGCTACCTTATTAGAGGCTTGGGAGACATCAACTTTCCAACAAAGGTCCGTATAGTTCAAGCTCTGGTTTTCCCAGTAGTGATGTATGGAAGTGAGAGCTGGACCATAAAGAAGGCTGATTGCCGAAGAATGAATGCTTTTGAATTCTGGTGCTGGAGGAGACTCTTGAGAGTCCCATGGACTGCAAGAAGATC